TTAGCATCAATACTGAGTAATGCTTGGCAGATCCCTCGATCTCCAAGTGCTCAGCGTATTTTGAAGCTGGTAACCCAGGAGAATTAATTGCTTAAGCTCAACAAAACCTCTCCAAACTCTCCCCTCCTGGAGTCACCACGATCTCAGTACCAGATAAGCAAGGGAGAGTAAAAAGCTGTCATGATACAACGACAGTTTATTTCAAGCAATGCGCTAAACAGAACTTATTTGGTTACCCAGGCAAGCTGGCCTCTCAAAACATATCATTCTGTGCAATGATATTTACAAATCTTTAATAATTTCATCCAGGATGGTCCAGTTCCTTTAGAAGTAAACTAAAAAAGTTTCACACTTTAACAGTTAATCCCAATGTGCTGGAGCCACAATTCTATGAGGTAACAAGCTAAGGGCTGAACCATGTGTTTGATGCCCAATCTTTACTGAAGTAGATGCAGCAAACACAGATCTAAAGTACTTTTGTGACATGTGTTTTAAATATGTAAAATCAGGGTAAATACTTTCAACATTATAAAAATTCCACCCTGACAAATATTTCAAAGTACTGAAGTTATTTGACATTCAAATACCACAAACACTAAGCAAAAACCTCTGAGATAAAGAAATGTAAAGCACTTGCAGTTCATACAAAAATGCATATGCAACAGTAACAGAACCTACAGCAACCACAAGGATGTGGTTGTCTGAGCACAATCAGATAGATTTTCTGTCCTCTTATGTATTAAAAGGAGTGTCTGTAACTAACACAGTGAGCTGAACTGACACACCACAGGACAAAACTGGCAAGTCACCAGGCAGAGACCAAAAGACAGACAGCTGCTGGAGATCCTTTGGCACCTACATGGAGCAATCCTGTAGTGATGAACTTCTAAGTACAATCTAAAGGCAGCTCATGAGCATCCACAAAATACTAGACTTGCATATCTGTTTCTCAGCACTTTCCAAATCCCATGGTGGCTCTTGTCCTATTCCTTCTACATGTATGTGTTCCTAATTTCTAACTTCGCCCAGTACAGTGATGCTTAGTCCAACTTTCAATCCTATTTCTGCCTAGTTAGCTACAAGTCTACCTCCCACCTGCTTTCAACAACTACCAAACCCAGTCTCCAGCTCTAGGCTGGACTTTTAACACAAGCCTAGCGCATGCCTTCACTCAGTGCAAAGGTGCTCATCTCAGTTTGGAAAACAATGGCTTAGTGTCAAGATTTATTCAGTATGGTGGGATCTTCTAACTTGCTACACCCTATACAGTGAAATCCGAAATCCAAAATACAGTATGTCTCTTGCAAATGGAATAGAAAGAAGTCTTCAGTATCAAACAATATGGAAACTGTCAGTTTCCCACCTTTTCCTTAAAATTCAAAAGTATCTGACCCATGCAATACTGACATGCTATTTTAACAGTAAATTGGAGGATGGGAAAAAAGCAGTAGGAACAAAGTCTGCCAAATCATTTGCACTCACTGTGTCCTTGCCCAAAAAGTACTGGCAAGGGGATAACCAAAGGAAAAGCATGCTTTTGCCAATCTAGTACTGTCTCAGCAAAAATATTTGCTTTTACTTTGAATAATAGAGAGTGTCACAGTCTGGAAGAAGATGCTAAGAACAGATGTGAAAATTCAGACAGCTACTGCGAACATTGTTCTTAAACCTTTTGTAACTTCCTTTCCGATATGGTAAAAGCAGTCTTTTGAATACTTTTAACCACCAATTCTGCCTAGAAAGAGTCCACATGATCTCACTGCTCCCTGAGAATGGCTCAGCGAGCCAAGACTGACCTACTTCCAGAGCAACAACCACTCAGCCCAAACATGAACTTCCCAAGGGATGGGTACATTCCTCTCAGTCTCAAGCCTGAAGGCTTTTTCCCAACAAAGTTTCGTATATACTGTAACAATAAAATCATTACATAATTTGAGTAATGCAAAAGCCCAAAAAATCAGTAATAACTGATTTTTCAAGTCTTCTCTTAAAAAGCTAATGCATTAATAGCAACACAGCTGAAGCTTCTATTCTCAGAGAATTATTTTCAAGCAAGCAGAGTCCCTTTAATCAGTGTATGACCTCTGAATGGTCCAGACATTACAACATATTCCGTCACCAATATCAAAACCACTTAATTTCTAAAATTCAATTGAAAAGGTTTTGGATTTTTACTTTCCATTAAAGAAATGCTTTCTGAATCATTTTAGGAACTGTGTTCTGCAGTTCACTTAGACAAAGTGAAGCTAAGTGAAAAGTGAAGCTATTTAAATCAATTTTGTATAAAACCAGTGCTTTGATGAAAAATGATGAAGAGAAGGTGAATGTAAGCATGGGAGCTTATACAAATGTTGGTGAAAAGGTATTATAGATACTGTATACATACAATTTGTAGAAACCCCTTGAAAAAATCCTGAAACAACAACTAGGAAAAATATATCACAGAACAGCCTGGCAAATATCCAACATTTAAGAGCACACTTTTAATTTTACTTTTCTGTGTCTTGCAGCAAACAATCCTCAAATATCCCAGTAATCTGTAGCACTTCAGCAGGTCCATTTTAGAGATTCATATCACAGGTAAGTTTCAATGGTATAAAACAGGTCCAATTTTATTACACATTTTTTTCAAAGAAACAAATATGTAGGATTCTAATGTTATATCTTTATATAGATAGCTGTATATTTTATATAAATATATCTTTACATATATATAACAAATTTTCTTTGTTTTTCTACTTTCTTTTCTTGGAGACTTCCCCAGTTTTCTCTTTCCAGGCTACTCAGTAATTAAAAAGGCCAAAAAACCCACAAAATACTATGGCTGAATATCATGAAGTCATTTATAATTTTCCTAAGTCCAACAGGGAAATGTGCCTTTAAGCCTATTCACCACTGGCTCTTCTCATTACACACATACATGAAAATATCTTTCACCGATAAACTCTTAAAACCTCTGGCTGTAAACAAGAGTTTGGATCTACAAGATTCTTAGCTTTTCAAATCTGTTGTGGTACCATTACCAGGGCAGGTGATAAGGGGCACATAAAGGGCAATAGAGAGTGAGTGGAAGTTGAAGGTGCAGTAAGGACTGGAGATCTTACTAATGATCTCTCAGAGAGACAATAAAAAAGCATTTTGGACCTTGAAGCATTCTGATATAGATGACTCACAGGTATTACAGGAGCTATTCATATATCTTCAATCTAAAATCTTAACACCTTGATCACTTGAAGTGGAACACAGATTATACAGTGCTTCAGGAGATATGCACTTCATTACTCAAGAAAACCTTTGGGGTTTGTTTGTTGTTTTTTTTCAATTCCACATAGCAGATGTATTTTCAGAGCAGCAATTTATTAGATTGATGATATTTGCCTTTGCTTACTGTAGCAATTAAATTGCACTGATAGAAAAACAAGCCAGATTTTCTCAACTGGCTTGACCTTAAGAAGGTCTCACTAGATGTTCAAGTTTTCTTGGACAACAATTCTTAGCTGTCATCCAGCACATGAGCTACTGGTCAGCATTCACTAAGAGAACTGAGACAACAAACCAAAACTCTTCTCTTTTGTAGCACTATATCTGATGAGAAACTTGTTTAAACATGTCTTAAAATGGCTCTTTGTGGTCCCTTTGCAAACACGTGTTTCTTCTTCCCAACACCCCCCACAGCAACTGTTATCTCCCATGCAGGAGTGTCCTGGGAAAGGTGTCCTGAGGTGTCCCATTGGTCCTTTGTTTAACCCCTTCCTATTGGCTGTTGACCCTTTACCTGATGGTTTCTTTTGTGTGACCCTGAACTTGTGATTGGTTCCCCTTTGACCCTCCTAAAAGCCTTATAAACCCCTTCCCAACAATAAACTCTCTCTTGCCTCCTCTCCACGCCGGTGTGCTGTCTCTGTGCCTGCCATGGAGCCACGTGGGTGGTGGGGGGAGGGGAGGGCACCTCTCCCCTCCAGGCTCGGGGCCTGAAAAACCCTGTCGCTGGAGTCCCCTTTCCCCGTCCCTCAAGACGTCGGAAATGGTTCTTCAGACGGAGAAGGAACTAGAGCTGGGCTCCCCCACGTCGTGGGTGGGGAAAGGGATCCAGACTCTTTAATCAACATTTTCCCTAAAAAACAAGGTTTAGTATTTTTTTGCTTGTTTAGCAGTTTTGATTGTTTTTCAGGTAATAACAGCTCATTTCAGTACACATGGTGGAGAGGTCAACTTTGTACTAGAAGCAATTTTTTTACAACATCCTTTAGAAAAGCATCCTATGTTATTCAAGCACTTCAGGTGGGAGCTGTAAAGACAGAGTTAACTTCCTCCACAGTTTATTATCTTCAGAAGTATCGATTCCTAGATGAGACCATACTCACCATTCCATGAGCCCTGCTGACTTCTACTAGCATCTGTGATATCTCAATGAGCTTATAGGAGGGATGGAAAGATTAGGGGACAAGCGAGAGAAACAACAGGAGTAATAGGCAGTGAGGACAGAGATGCAAAACTACTTTGGAGCATTATCACCTAAAATAAGTCTCCCTTCATGAACTCTTGTGACCAGGCATCCATGTTTGTCAGTGCAATTTAATGGATACAGACCAACACACCTTTAGGCTTCATCCTCAGATCAACAAAACAGAGAAAGGATTTCTACATGACAAGCAGGTACTGCAGATCAATAGATAAACATTGACATGTATCAGCAATGTGTGTCTCTCTTAAAAAAATAATTTTTTTTCAAATAAAAGTTCAAGTTGGCAGCTTTAGGGTATTACTGGCAAAAGATATGGTTGTCAAATAATTTGTCACACCTATAAAAGTGTGGTTAAAATACAAATACAGTATTAGATTCCTTTGTTCATATAAGTCAAAATATAGTGAATTGTTGAAGCGAAATTTCAGGATTGCTAGCCTCTGGAAAAATAAACAACAAAACATATGTTTAAATAAGCAAGTCCCAACAAAATGTAACAGCAAGATTTTTTTATGGATATTCTGCACATACTTACAGGTTGAGCAGACTAATAGTGCTCTCACCACAAGCTCACTGAGTAACTTCCACTTCTGCTTCACTCTGGAAGTGACAACTGGAATGAGAATCTCCGCAGGGACATAGAATTGAATCGAATAGGTCACAAAAATCCCAAAGGAGTACAGCATTTTTACCGACTGATATAACCTATTGGAAACATTTACACACATTCACGTAAGTTGTAAACTCTTCATAAAAAAATCAGCTTGCCAATGGTACTAAGCCTAAATATATATATATTTGAAAAATATATTTTTCCCCCAGCAAACACAAATGTTACATTACAACGGCCTAAGAAATTGCAGAAGATAAGCCAACTAGAGTAAATCTTCAAGAAACAGGAAGTGCAGACACCCTTATCACTGCTACGTGTGGTTGAGTAAACAAGTGACAAAGAATTATTCGCACTACCAACAGTTTTAAATTTAGATGCAGTTTAAATCCATGCTGCATAAACTACAAGCATTTGTCATAGGTCTGCTTGCAGTCAACTGAGAAATTATGAGTCTCTTCACATGATTTTCTTTCTAAGAATGCAACTAAGGACATTATTAAAACTTTGGGTAAGGGTTTGGTTCATTTGCCATGGGGTATTGTGTGTTCACAAATGAGCAAGGGAATATTTCTCATAAACAACATTTTTCTTTTTTGCTTCAGTCCTTAAAGAGAGATTGAACTGAAGCAAAGGCAACATGCATAAGTAAGAAAAGAAAAAACAAGCAAGGGTAGGGAAAGAACAAGTAGGATCTTCATCTCTGTATCTCTCAAAGCCTGGCAGGGGTCACTCAAAGTGTTTCCTCTTTGAGTGTCACAGACTGTATCTGTACAAGTAAATAAAGTCCAGCCACGACTGCTTTTGGCCCCTTGTCCTGTGGCCAAATGGCACAACATGGCAAAATTTGTATCCATACAGCTCAGCTCTTCACCACCACAACAGGATGCCTCCATCATCCTTCCTTCAACATTTTGAAGGATGTGTTGAACACACAGTCAATAACGGTTTCGAACACTGGAGTGGTGAACCGCTGGTGAACTTGAATAGCCCTTTCAGCTCAGTCTTAGGTGTTTCTCATCTCACAGCTACAAGCTAGGTCATCAAGTTTTCCATTTTTTATGATACTAAGAGACTGCTAACAAACCAATAAGGGGTTTTTTTTTAAATGAACAAATACACAGAAGTAATTATTTTATATATATGTATGTATATATATATATTATATATATATACATTCTATGATATGAGGGGAAAAAGAAAAATATGCTTCAACTAAAAATAAATTTTGACTAATAGGTTCTAGAATATATGTAACAAAGGTTTGACCATCACTGTACACAACTCAGTGAAGCCCCAAAGGCATATTCAAATGGATAAAAAAACTATTATATCAATTTCTGTGGTGACATAATGGTGTAGCTAGTTTAGAAGCCACAGCTCTTGTGACACACTTCTTTTTAGAAATGTCAAGGAAAAAAGAGTCACTTTTCTATCAAGTCTGCATGACTGTCCTTATTCCAGAAGCTTAGATGGATTTTAGCCAATTAAAAATAGAAAAACTGACCCGCTACCCACAATTCACCTCTAATCCTCAGGCTTCAGACCATCCCAAACCTTTACAAAAACAATTTTTAAAAGATACTCAAAAACAGGATTCAAAACTTTAAATACACAGTTGTTCAAAGTGAGTGTCTCCCTTACACTAACTAATTTTCTATAGATCTACAAGGATTAAAACCTTCCAAATTAGAAAACAATTTTTATATTATTGAGGTGATTTTACTAGTAATTTAATATTATACTCCAATCAGATAAAGACAGTTTCTTAAGCTACCTTTTAATAAAAATGTAAATCATATGTGCTAAACCTCTTTTCAATTCTCCATTTGACATTTCATTGTACCTCTTTTAAGGGTAGAAACATTGGCAAGTACTGTAACAAAACTTGCATAACAATACAGTTAGAACCAATACAGGAATTAATTACACTAAGCTTTCATTTTAACTAGTACCATGTAAAGCCTTGTTGAACTTCAATATACTATAGTGTTTGTATGGTAGTTAACCTTTGGGATTCACTGTCAGGGAACTGTTGCACAAAGACTCACTGATGTCTTAACAAAGAACAGGTGGTGAAAAGAACCTTCATATTCAGCCTCAAGAAGATGAGAAACTAACCATGGGCAAAGAAGAAAATTTTTGCAATGAGGGTGGTGAGCCACGGGCACAGGTTGCCCAGAGAAGCTGTGGATGCCCCATCCCTGGAAGCATTCAAGGCCAGGTTGGACAGAGCTTGGAGCAACCTGGTCTTGTGAAAGATGTCTCTGCTCACAGCAGGGCAGTTGGAACACATAATCTTTAAAGGTCCTCTCCAACCCAAACCATTCTATGATTTTATGAGACCCGAACCAAGGACGCTACCAAGTACTAAAGCACAATTTTCCATAATCTACATTTGCAAATACTGCAGGACTTGGTTCAAACTGATGGTCACATGACAATAATTACTAAGATTCCAAGCAGCTAACTATGTAAAAAGATAAATGCTACTTATGAAATAAACCAGAATTCTTTGATTCCAGAAAAGAGTTGTAAAAGATCAGCAAAAACAATCTGAGAACTATTCTTAAAGTCCATTTTCAACATATTCTAAGTAATATATTATGCTGAGTGATAATTTGTACTATCAAACAGCATCTAAACTAGAACTGCACTAAGTGGTTCCTCCAAAAGCACTAATCTAGCAGGATGTTTTTAAGAACATGAGCAATCTTCTATTTAAATTAAACTTAAGCACTTAACCAGTCTAGGGCCTGTGCATGCCTTCCAGTCAATGCATCTGCGAGGACATCAAATAAAACTCAGAAAGCAGCAGAATTCTAATTTAACTTTTTTTACCAGGAAAGGCTTATTTTTAAGCAGGGGTTGTCCAGCTGGAATGAAACACATAAGCCAAGTCTCACTGCTTAGGTACATTCCAGGTTCTTTTGCATGACCATCTTCTTATAAAAACCTCCCCTGCTCCTTGCATTTCTCTAGTACAAACTGGCAACTTACTGGCTTTTTATGTGAGGACCAAATACCAAAATACTGTTTACTGGAAATTTGTTTTGTTAGCACAGTGATTGCAACCTCTTGCCCCTCAGTACTGTATCAAGTAGACCCACAGTACGGCACAGCAACAGCATCGTACATCACAACCCCTGGGTGCACCCATGAGCTGCTTCTCCAAATTTTGTTTGCTGCTCTGGGGTACTATCCAGGGTAAGACAAAAACAGATGACTTCGTTAACTGTAGATATGTGCCCTGAGTAGCTTTGAGGTTATTACACTTAAAATGCCAATTTTCTACCCTTTAGAGCACCAGTTTCCATCTCTTTTATTATCTCTTTCTATGCATTAGTCCTGCAAAGCTATCAGGATAAACATCATCATCACATCTGCACTGTAGCCAAGAGCTACTTGAAAACTCATATGTGAATAGCTCTGCTAGACAGCAGGGATGCAGAATAAAGTTCATCGTGTTGCTTGCACAAGCGCAATAAAAAGCGACAGTGAGTAGCAATGTTACCTTATTCCACATTCCTCTCACTCCTGCTTTTTAAGAGCACTTCTCTTAAGGCACAAATAAATCCAGAGCTACCATTTAAAACAAACTTTTCACTAATCTTACAAACAACAAGCACTGCCATGTAATATTCAAAATAGAAGTATTTTCCCTTTCAGATGCATCACACAGACAGAATGGATGCATTAAACATTTGTATATTCCTGGGTTTTTCTAATGTCACAGAATCAGAGAATGGTTTGGATTGGAAGGAACCTCAAAGATCATCTACTTCCAACCCCCCTGCCATGGGTAGGGTCACCTTCCACTAGATCATGTTACTCAGAGTCCCATCCAGCCTGGTCGTCAACACCTCCAGGGATGGGGAATCCACAGCTTCTCTGGGCAACCTCTTCCAGTATCTCACCACCCTTATAGCAAATAATTTCTTCCTAATATCTAATCTAAACCTGCCCTCCTTTAATTTAAAGCCATTCCCCCTTGTCTTATCACTACATGCCCTTGCAAAATGTCCCTCTCCAGCGCTCTTGTAAGCCCCCTTCAGGTACTGGAAGGTGGTCTAAGGTCTTCCCAGTGCCTTCTCCAGACTGAACAGCCCCAGCTTCCTCAGCATGTCATAGGAGAGGTGCTCCAGCCCTATGATTATTTTAGGTTCTCCTCTGGCCTTGTTCCAACAGGTCAGTATCTTTCTTGGGCTGAGGACCCCAGAGCTGGATGCAGCACTCCTGGTGGGGTCTCACAAGAGCAGCGTAGAGGGGGAGGATCACCTCCCTCAACCTGCAAGCCACACTGCTTTTGGGGCAGCCCAGGACACAGCTGGCTTTCTGGGCTGTGAGCACACATTGCCAGGTCATGTTCAGCTTCTTCTCCATAAACACCCTCTAGACTTTCTCCCCAGGGCTAGTCTCAATCCATTCTCTGACCAGCTTGTATTTATGCTTGCGATTGCCTTGCCTTGCACTTGGTCTTGCTAAACTTCTCATGTATCTATGTACAACGAAAGAATACAAATATATATATAGCAATATCTCCAAAAACCAGAACCACAGGCAAAACAGGAAAACAAAACCCCCCAAAGCTCAAAAAAACAAACCAAAAAAAACTTCCCATAAAATGGAAAAAAACTGAGGGACAAATCTCAGTTTTTACAACAGTAGTATAAAACCAAAACAAGTAAACAAGCAATAGATGAAAATTCTAGCAATTGAAAAAAATTCATCCTTCAAGACCCATTTTATTATACTTTCATGTATTAAACACTGGAATCAGACAGGCAATTAAACAAAAAAATTAAAAATGCATGGCTCATACTGACTCCAAGGAATGAAAAGGAAGAAAAAGTGAAAAAGTAACACCTAAAAATTAAGAACTTTCTTTACACACGTTCTCCTCTGTTTCAAAGAGTAAAAATCGAGTCAGCACTCAGTTCATTAAAGCAGGGTTTTTTTCCCCACATAATTTGAGATTTCACTACTTCAGTAAGCTGCCACAACAGACACTGAACAAGTAGATGCAAGCACATAACCTGTAACGCATTATTTGATTAGAAGGAAAACATTAAAATACTTTTCAGTTTTAATACTTGTGCACTGTTGATATGCCTAATTTTAGGCCCATCAGACATAAAAGTACTAAAAAAATTTAGAGTTATCTTTAAATTAATAGTTACAGTATATATATCCATCCATAGACAGATACAGAACTAACAGTGCACCAGCTGAAATTGTCTTCAGTGCTTCTTTAGCATGTGACATGTGGAGCTCTCACAGCATAAAAAAAAAGCCAAAGAAAAATTATAATATCCTTGAGACACTGGCAAGCATAAGCTTCACTTTTCTGATAGGAAGCCATTATTATATGTTATCCATGAACTTGCACTTGAACTACAAATCCATTCAGCTTTGGTGTCTTACATCCCAGTTGTTTACCTGCTAAACTCAGTGATTACACTAAAAAAGGGCACGATATTACCAGGATATGCAAGGTAAAAGTAGCTGTTTTCACAACTGTGTTACAGCTGGTTGCAAACTGCATATTCTCCCCTTGAACAGTCCAGGAACTAGCTTCTGCTAGAGATGGAATAATTTATAATAAAGATCATTGATCTGTCTCCATATTCAAGTCCTTTTAATATGCAGGAAATTGCTGGCTAGGACCATAGCTCTAATGTAGAAGGCACAGACACAGTACATACATTATAAGTCTGAGCATCTATCAATTATAAGCCTGACAGCACTGAGGCACGGAATAATCTTTGCAACATTCATGCCTTCTAGATTACTGCTTTTAAGTCACATACACACTTACCATTTATCTTGTGGCAGGTTTAAAGTTATGCTGCCTTTGACTTGATCCCCAAACCGCAGATATCCCAGAGTGGCTAGTGAGATATACAAGGTCATGACTATTCCCATCCCAATGTTCAATGCCTGTGGGAAACGTGTTGTGTCCTTCATTCTGTTTTCCAATGGTAGTACCTGGAAATAGAGGGAGAATCAATTACATTTTATGTCCTAAAACTACTTTTCTCCCCTATTTCAAAGCCAATTTCCAAAATTTTGCTGGTTTTATAAATAAATAAGATTATTCTACAATAATGTTTTACAGCCTGAACAGTCACAGTGTTTTAGGTACCCAACAGAAACGTTCAATTACTGAAAAGCACTTATCTTGGTTGAAAAACAGCATCAGTGTGGGAATATAAAGCAATATTTATAGGTTAGAAAACTGTCAAGAGAAACTTATGGTGTCCAGATGCAAACATGTAGGCAATATGAGTAACATGAATTTTTTTGTAACAGAATTGTTCAGAATCCAAGGATATTTCTCCTACTTCTGTTAGGTATGCCTGCATTGTCAGTATCCCATCACAGACAAACCTACTGACACCCAAGCTCATGCTCAGCACTCAGCCTCAGCTCTCCCAGCAGGGAAGCTTGAGCCCATGACAACCAGAACACAGTCCCACATTCTTTTTCATTTTTCTGACAAGAAATAGGGCAGGCCAGGCACACTAAGCACTGCTTTCTCTAAACATAGTGTACGTGCCTTGTGCCAGAACTATAGTCAATCTACCTTGCTGGGCTTGCCATCACTTCAAAGTGAAGACAGAGATGTTGCAACCATTACTACATGAAGTTTGCTGGAGAGACTGCCTTTTACAGGTACTATATAACATTCAGGAAAATACACTTAGTAAGTTCCAACTTAAGTTTTTAGGCACCCAGATAAAATTTCTAGGCAAGGCAGTAAAACCAAGTAACAGGTTCACATGCTGTTCTTTCCAGCTTGAATTTCATCAGCATTAGCAGATCCTATTACATCATTAAACACAAGCTGAAGGTACATGCATGCTCCTAGATGACCATACCTTCCCTATCTCTTTCAGAGAACTGTACACTCAGATACTCAATATGGGACATAGTTCAAGATTAAAACACCTAATATAGTTACATCTAAATAAAACATCTAAGTTTCTATAATGAAGTTAGGTAATGAAGATCTAATCAATACAGTCAGTGGAATAAAGTCCTCAGTTCAGCCTGTCTTTCAGTAGACATGCTGGTTATATTTGATTAACAGCATGGCACTGTTAATTAAACAAGCTTGTCATCTCTAGTTAGCATTTATGTTAATCTAATACAGACAAAACAGTCTCAGTGCAACAGGTTCGCCCTGTAAAAGCTCCTGTTTGTCACACAAAATTGCCTTTTAAATTACTCAATATCTACTATTCAATTTAAGCAATGTGAGTTATGAAAAAAAGGATATTTCATTCACTAATTAGCAAATAAATTTATATATTTGGATTACTAGCATATTATTTTCTATAGGGCAATCATTCCTTTCCTCCTAGTCACCCACTGACATCCACTTCCTGACTTATCACTTCCTGAGTATCACTACTGCCAATCCATCCCATATTATTCTATTTCTCCTACATTAGAAATCCCAAAGAAGTAATTTTACACTTGAGAACAAAGAGGTCCCTTAAAAAGTGCACATTTAGAGGTAATTTTCATTCCTATTCAATTAAAATACATTATACATGTTAACTTCTTTACATAATTTGGAGCCTCCACTGCTGATGTTTTTCCTCCAGAAAAAAAATCTGAGCTTGATTTTTGTAACTTGATCTGGTGGGGAATGCAAAATTTAAACCAAGAAGAGTTTCAAAAATTAAATCTATTTTTAAATGACTGATGAGCAGCAGGAAAAATACAAAAGGAAATATGAGGCTACAAGTATTACTTCAGTGTGACACAGACAAAACTTGCTGATTTCTCTGAATTAATTAAGCCTCTGTGCCCGTGTAGTGCTTATCAAGCCATCTTTTGATATTTAACATCAACAACTACCAGTTAGAGCAGAGCACACCTCAGATTCTTTTGTCCTCAGTTGCAATTAGACAGTTTTAATACACTGCTTTATTAAGGAGCGGTGAGGATGAAAATTAACGGCAATTTTTTCCTACATTGGAGTTCTCCCATTCTTGACTTCCTACTAACAGACAGCATTTGAGTCTGAACCAGTAACAGAAACTCATTCAGCGTGTATCTGTTAATTCTCTGGTTATTATAAACAGAATATATTTTCTGCATAAGCTCTGCCATGTTTTACAGTTTCTGGGAACCTTAACAAGCATGAATTGCTACTCTAAGATCTTATTCCAAGCTACATTATCTCTGCAGAGCTGTAATGGTAACTGCTCGCCCAGCAGATATCAGGAGTCTCTTAGTAAGCTCACTGGCCCACAGGTTTGATTTCCAGAGTCTCTGGTATTCATTTCATGCACTCTTAGCAGAGGGAGGACTGTGAACTCAGATACACATGCTGATCATGGAAAAAATCTCACGTTTTTCCACCATGACTGCCGGTCAGAAAGGGATCCTTGAGACTGCCTGCCTCTCTGAACTTACAAAAGTAATCCATGGGTGACTAATTAATAGGGGAAAAAATTTCCTGTGGTTTCACAGTCAGAGGGAGCTAAACTCAAAGACTATAAGAATGTTCATTATAATAGACCTGTTGGAACAGGTCCAGAAGAGGGCCACAAAAATGATCAGATGGATGGAGTACGTCTGCTACAAAGACAGGTTGAGAGAGCTAGGGCTGTTTAGCGTGGAGCACACAAGGTTCCAGGGTGACCTTATTGCAGACCTTCAATACTTATAGGGGGTCTATAAGAAAGATAGGGATAGACTTTTTACCAGTCCAAGCATTTACCCACCGCTGCCAAGTCCACCACTAAACCATGTACCCAAGTGCCACATTTGCATGTCTTTTCAATATCTCCAGGGACAGTGACTCCACCACTTCCATTGGAAACCTGTTTTAGTGCTTGACAACCCTTCCTGTGAAGAAATTTGTTCTAATATCCAATCCAAAACTCCCCTGGATCAACTTGAGACTGCTTCCCCTTGTCCTGACCCTTATTACCTGGGAGCAGAGGGTGCCCCCCACCTGCCTACAACCTCCTTTCAGGTAGTTGTAGATAGCCAGAAGGTCTCCCTTGAGCTTCTCTTTATCCAGGCTAACCAGCCCCAGCTACCTCAGATGGTTTTCATAAGACTTGTGCTCCACGCCCTTCCCCAGCTCCATTGCCCTTCTCTGGACATGCTCCAGCACCTCAATGTCTTTCTTGTTGTGTCAGATCCAAAACCAAACACAGGATTCGAGGTGTGGCCTCACCAGTGCCAAGTACAGGGGGGACGATCACTGCCCTGGTCCTGCTGGCCACACTATTGCTGATACAGGCCAGGGTGCCATTGGCCTTCTTGGCCACCTGGCCACATTGCTGGCTCATGTTCACCCACTGCTGACCAGCATCCCCAGGTTCTTTTCCACTGGGCAGCTTCCAGCACCCTTCCCCCAGCCTGTAGCACTGCCTGGGATTGTTGTGACCCAAATGCACGACCCGGCACTTGGCCTTGTTGAACCTCATACAGCTGGCCTCAGCCCATTGATCCAGCCTGTCCAGATCCCTCTGCAAAGCCTTCCTACCCTCCAGCAGATCAACACTCCCACCCAGCTCAGTGTCATCTGTGAACTTGCTGAGGGTGGACTCGATCCCCCTGTCCTGATCACCATGGCCTCCAACCGTCACATCACCAGTCCTTATCAGTTCACAAACAGCAGGTCCAGCAGGCACCTCCCCTGGTTGGCTCACTCACCAGCTGTGCCAGAAAGTTCTCTTTCACACACTCCAGGAACCTCCTAGACAGTTTCTTGTCTGCTATATTGTATTTCCAACAGACATCTGATAAGTTGAAATCCCCCATGAGAACAAGGGCCATCGACCATGAGACTTCTCCCAGCTGCTTATAGAATATTTCATCTGCCTCTTTATCCTGGTTGAGTGGCATGTAACAGACTCCAAATTATATTTAAATATACTAATTTATCCCTGCTTATCTTTGAATTATTATCAACACTAGATCTGCCTCCAGAGTGAACAGATGAGGATGCTAATGTAGCCTTTCCTGCATCACTCAGTACGAGCAAGAGTGTCCCTTCCCAGTCTCAGCACAAGCCTTCCCAGATTCAGGTACTCTCTCTGCATAGCAGTAGACATTACAAGACAGTTGCTGTCACTGCAGGAGGTGCTTCCCTTGGTAGAACTGATGCCCAAAGTAATTATGTGAAGAATTTGAGCCACGTTTTATACAGTATTCAGTATCACCTATTCCAGACAAGACAAAAAGTTCTGCACCTTGCTGAATTAACATGAAATCAAGTAACAATCAATTTATATATATTGTATATTTATATATATTATATATTACACAAACTCTCTGCTCCCTAAGCTGCTAAATTCCATCAGGATCCAAAGGATTAGTGAAGTGTTCACAAGGAGACAGGGGCTGACAGGAGATATGGTGTGAGCCAATGCTTGTTCTGACACTGTGTCACTGTTGGGCAGCTGCTGGATAGATTTTCACATAAAATTTCTTTCCAGTCCCTGCACAATCATTCTTGTGATGACTTCAGAAAACCTAACATTTTATCTGAATGCAAAAGATATAAGGTTCTTTTCACAAATGCTTTTTAGTTTTTGTTTGATTACTTCCCTTCTGGAACACTGAAGCTGAACATGCTTTCTTGCCCTTTTTTCTAGAGCCAGAAATTAATTTCACTCTTCAATTCTTTTAAATTATTTTCTTAAAAAGGTAACACCTTACCTAGACAACTGAATAGCTTTGGAAAAAAAACATTCACACCTCTGATTCTTTCTCTCTGTCCAATATTGCATCATAACACCTCTCAAAAGGGATATTGCATCAACTCAGTATGACACACTAAGGCTTCGCTGTTGCTCTGTGCTTGTTAAAACACCCATTTCTGCTACAACAGGCAGTATCATTCATCTAGTCCAATACCTCCCACACTCTTCAGATCTATAAGAACATACACAACCACTGCACAACCTAGTGATGGGAGATACTAAGGTCAGGGGAAACTTCGGGGAATAGTCTTC